TTATGAGAGTTAAATGCATCAACCAGCTCTGATAGTTCAGATTGAGTGCAGCGAATTAATTCGAAACCAAATTCCTGCTGAGCATCCACCGGATTCCGAGCAGTCGTACCGCTGGTCGAAAAGGTCACTACTTTTACGGGCGATTTTTGTCTGGATAAAGATTTTATTCGTAACCAAAATGTTTCGTACCGTGAACCATCGAAGATACGATGAGTATCATCGAGAATGATTACTCGCTCACCGTGTTTAGAATTTAACCAGTATTTCCAACTTTTTCCCGTTTCGTTCACCCAAAATTCCTCGAAAGGTATTTCTTCTACGCCCAGGAAACAAATATGCATCACGGGTGTTCCTTTCTTTCTGTAGTATTTCTCAAGCAGGATGCACAATGAGGTTTTTCCTGTGAACGGGGGAGCGCGAATAAATATCACGTGATTTTTTTGAACGAATTGATCGATGCGCATCACAGTCTCCTCGCGATGTGTTATCCAATTCTCAACGGTGTTAAGACAAATTTCCTTGGTTTCAATTGAAGGAATGTTACGCTGGACAAAATATTCGGATCCAGAATCGGTAAATTCGTCTTCGGATGCGTTGTCCTCAGGTGGAGTTGATGTTAGGTATGGATAATGAACATTCATCGCGAGTCGAATAAGTTTAGAAAATGTTATACCATTTAGAAGAATGATAGATTATCCTTCCTTCAACAATGGTAATTGAGATAAGAAAATATAAAATTCATTTATTCCCAAAGCAGACATGATCTCGACGATGCGAATTAGAGACTTGCTAATCTCTAAGCATTAGCAGAGACGCATAAATGAAAAATGCAAAATTCATCTTATGTATATATGTACATATGATTAATAAGGAAGATGCATAGTGAATTTGATATCAATTGGATTTTTTTTTTCATATCAACTTCGGTGCTCCTGAATTTGAAATTACAGATTTTTCAATATGTATATTATCGTGCATATACTGTAAAAAATACTTTGTTAAATAAAATAAATAAATATATATACAGTATATATATAAATAAAATAATAATGCATCATTAATTTAACAGAAAAGAAATTATTATCAGGATATTAAACAAAAAAAAAATGACACTTTTATAAGCTTTCGAGGAATTTGTAAGAATGATGTAATGGTGACTTTATTGATATTGCTAATATATTGGAAGGAACATTTGAATTTTCATCCTTTCTTTATCTTTAATAAAGATGTCTGCTGATGATAAGATGAAATCGACGATGGTTCATTCGTTTCAGGAATGCATGGCCAAAGGCGGACGAATTGTTAAATGTCAACCAAATGCATATGCGACAAATCATTATGCAGTCCGGGTCAGAATGCCGAACGATTTCGAAAAGTTTTTCCCAAACGTCATTGAAGAACACGTTAAACCTTTCTTGGATGGTGATAATCTTCCATCAGCTCAATCAGGGAACGCTGCGAAACAAGATCAAGAATTGAGTTCGGAAGGTGAAAACGAATCGTCTGAAAAATCTGGATTAAGAACTAATTTCTTGAATGCCATGCATAATGGTGGCGTTATTATTGAATATCACAAGAACAAGCGAGGAAATTACACGTAATTAATTTCATCAAAATGTTTTGGGGACGTGATTTATTTTGATACTAATTTCTTTCTTTCATTATAAGTGTTCGCGTGAAATTACCATCAAATGACACTGAAGTTTTTCCGAACATTACAGAGGAACACTTTAATCAATTTAAAACAAAGATCGCACAAGAAAAGCCTCCTGAACCAGAGCACCACCACCGTGA